GTGTGTGTGTGTGTGTGTGTGTGTGTGTGTGTGTGTGTGTGTGTGTGTGTAAGCGTGTATGGGTGGGGACATATGTGTGTCTGTGTATGTGGAAGAGGTCAGCCTTGGGTAGTGTCCCTTAGAATACCATTCACATTATTGTTTGAAATAGGGTCTCTCAATGAACCAGTTTCAACAGGTTAGCTGGCCCAAGAGTCTGAGGGATCCAGTGCCTCAGCACTGGAGTTACAGAATTACAAGTAAGTACCACCACACCCATTTTTTGTTTTGTTTTGTTTTAGAAAAGCTTTTGGCGATTGAACTCAAGTTCTCATGCTTGCATGGGAAGCCCTTTACTAACGGGGCTATCTTCCCAGCCTGTCAGCTGAGAAGTTCTAGGCAGAGTTCATGCTGCCAGGCCGGGGACCAAACACTGGGACGTTTAATCCTTACAGTGTTGGACTCACCATTTGTGTTGCCAGGTGAGTCCACTCAGAAGAAGGATGCTGATGAGTAGGAAGACGCAGCTGGCCACTGTCAAGAGAGAAAGGGAGTTCAGGTTGTGGCTATGCTTGGGGTGGGTGAGTGGGGGAGGCCGATGGATCCGAAGGGCGGGAGAGAAAATCCTTTAGGTGAGCAAGGACCTCCTGCATGGTGGGGCCTACAGTTTCTTCTTTCTTTCCTCCTCTCCCTGAGGATTTCTAAGAAGGCTCAAGGAGCCAGGGCAGAGCCGGTTGGGCATGGAAGGAGCATCTGTAGGAAAACTGGCACTTGTCCTCTGGACCAGATTGTAGGAATCTTGAGGAAGGCACAGAGGACAGGCCTCAGTAGTAGCATCTTCCATGAAGGAAATGTTGAAACAAGATGAGAAATCCTGAACACACTGATATCTCCCGGAAGTGCTCGACTTCCCAAGTGCTGACTTGTGAAGGTTCCAGAACCCACCATTTATCCAGTGGCCCAGGCGGGTGTAGCCTTGAAGCCCGCTTTTGCCTCCTACCAGGAACAACTGAGTTGCTTATGGACATTTTTCTCTTTCTCCCTGAGGCCTTGCTTTGTCCCTCCCTAAAGTTTGGGAGTCATTGTTTTTGAAGGTGTATGTGGGAGGAACTGATTTAGGGTGATTTAAGGGTTAACGGTGGTGATGCTCTCGGTTCATATTGATTGCTAGAATCTGAAGTCACTTTAAAGATAAAACTCTGGGCATGTCTGTCAGAGATTATCTAGATTAGGTTAACTGAGGCAGGGAGATCCACTCTAAAAGTGGGTGGTACCATTCCATGGGCTGGGATTCTAGGATCCATGAAAAGAGTGAGCTGAGCACAAACATTCATCTTTTTCTTTTTAATTTTTTTGAGACAGGATCTCATGATGTCATTCTGGCTGCATTTCACTAGGCCGACAAGGCTGGCCTCAAACTCATAGAGATCTGCCTTCCAAATTCTGGGATTAAAGGTATGGCCACCACGGCCAGCCTTTGTTTCTTAACTGCAGATTCACCACGACCAGCTGCTCATTTCCTGCTGCCATTCATTTCTCATAGTGATAGGCTGGATCCTATAACTGTGAGTCGGAACAACCTTTCTTCCCTTTGGTTTGTTTTGTCAGCAATGCAAAAGGTAGCTAACACAACTCACAACTACTAGAGCTGATTCACGTGATTTTGAGCAATGTTAGCAACTAAAGTCATCTTTTCCCCTTATAAGCAAACATTAGAGAAAGAAGGGGTTATTTCAACTAAACTACAAATGTCTTAGTGAAGAGGGAATTTAATCCAGTGATTCCAACTCTGGTTGAAATACAGACACACCCTTAGTATACACCTTTAATCCCTCTTCCTGGAATATAGACCTGCCCTTAGTACACACCTTTAATCCCAAACAATGAACTAAAGTTAGTTGGTAGAAGGAACCACCCATGTTTTAAAGTGATGTCTAATTGAGGGGCAGAAAAAGTGACAAATCAGAGAAAGATTTGACAGAATAGGATATGCCCAGATCTTAAGGGAGAAGAGTGCAGAAGAAGAAAGGGAGGAGGCAGTTTTATCAGGACAGTTGTACAGAGAAAGGTTGCTACAACCTAGAACACAGGTGAAGGCAGAATGAACTAGTGAATGAGAAAGAACCAGAAGATTAGAACACATTGCCAAAGTTAGTATGAGGCCAAGCAGAGCAATTCAGTCAGAGGATGAGAGAGAAGTCAGATTGAATCAGTCAGCTAGGAGGGTAGTTTGAGCCAGAACTGCTGAGTTGACCAACCAGTCAGAGCTTAGAATGAATTAGAGTGAGCTTATTCAGCAGTAAGTCTCAGATGCTGAAAACATTCTAGGTCTAGATTAGATTGTACAGAGACTAGAAGCTTCCATGTCTAGGCCTAGGTTAGCAGATGGAGGCAGTAAGCCTCCAAGACAACAATTACATCAGGCAAATAAAAGTTACTTTTACATCTTGGCATACTGCACAATTTGTGCATAAATGAAATGACCTGACCTACCTGCTATCTGATACTCCATTGTAAATATGAATGTCTCCATAGCTGTAGTTGCTTCTGTGAGTTGTGGGAAGTCTGTGGAAAAGAGAGATGAGGGGGCACTCAGTTTATGGCAAGAACAGGACGGCATGATGCTGGAAGAGAAGGGGCTTATTGGTGGATTAGTCACTCAGGTTAGGGGAAGGGATGTGAGGGCCAAGTGAGCAGAGTCTGTCTGGAGACCTCAACCTCAGGCCTGTGATTTCTCCTTCTGACGCTTCCTTTAGATTTTATGTGTGTGTGTGAGTGTGGAGGGGGTGTATGCATTCATGTGCCTGTGTACGTGTGTGTGCATCTCTGTGTGCAAGTGCCTATGCACATGTGCCTTTGGAGACCAGAGGTCAACATCAGATGTCTTTCTTCATTGATCACCTTTTTTTTTTTGAGACAGGTTCTCTTATTTGATTCTCATTGGTTCAGCTAGACTAGACTATGGCCAGCAAGCTGTAGAGGCCCTCATGTTTCTGCCTCCCCAGTGCTAGGATAACCACTGCCTTGTATAGTTTTTTTTTTTTTTTTTTTTTTTTTTACATTTTTAGTGATTCTTTGGGGGATCAAAGTCAGGTCCTTGGGCTTTACATAATAAGAACCATACCAGCTGAGCCATCTTCCCAGACTACCTTGGGGTGATTATATCGAAATTATATCACATTCTTGCTTTGGAGGAGAGAGGGAGACAGCTACGCTGGCTTCCCCCTTGTTCCTTGAAGGAGAGGCTTGCATAGTCATTGTCAGCTTGTGCCTGATGGCCAAATGTCTGTTCGTGGAAGCTCTCTCCATACCTGTGGTGGTGATGGGACAGGCAGTCTCACTCTCCGGAGAAGGATCTCTGCTTTCTGGAGATTCTTCACTAGCTGCAGAAGAAAGAAGGCAATGCACTTTGAGGCCACGCTGGAGCTATGGGACTCAGATGCCTCCCTCCACCCACCATCTGCTGATGGCCCCAGATACACCTGCTAACACATGGCACATTTTTTGGGAATGTCTCTGGGACACTTGTTTCACATCAGGGGATCTAGAAGCAGTTAAGGGGCCATAGCAGCTGGGTGGTGGTGGCCCCTGCCTTTGATCCCAGAACTTGGGAGGCAGAGGCCTATGAGTTCAAGGCCAGTCTGGTCTCCAGAACTAATTATAGGACAGCCAGGGACACACAGAGAAACCCTGTCTTCAAAAACAATAACCAAAAAGGGGGGGGGGGCACAGTAGAGCATGTAAGGGGGAATCCTAACCCTGACAGTGACTCTCTTATAGAACTATGAGAGAGTCTTTCTCTTCAGGCTGCCTACTCAGCCTTGGATTCCACCCTTGATTTGGAATTGGGTCAAAATTAAACACTACCACCTCCACCACCATCATGAAAAGAATTAAACAGAGCTTTGACAGCTGCTTTGTGATCAATGGCCCAGTGTGCTGGCTAGTTTTATGTCAGTTTGACATAGGCTAGAGTCGTTGGAGAGGAGGCAACTTCAATTGAGAAAATGCTGCCATAAGATTGGGCTGTAGACAAAACTGTAGGGCATTTTATTAAATAGTGATTGATGTGGGAGGGCCCTGCTCATTGTGGGTGGTGCCACCTCTGGGCTGGTGATCCTGGGTTCTATAAAAAAGGCAGGCTGGTAGGTTGGAGAGATGGCTCAACTGTTAGTAGCACTGTCTGTTCTTCCAGAGGTTCTGAGATCAAGTCCAAGCAACCACATGGTAGCTTATAACCATCTATAATGTGATCTGATGCCCTCTTCTGGCATGCAGGTGTACATGCATATAGAGTATCATACACATTAAATGAATAAACAAACAAACAAATAAATAAACAAACCTTAAATTATGCTTTTGAGAACTACCCCCCTGATGGGGCTGCCTTGCCAGGCCACAAGGAAGAGGACACTCTCAGTCCTGATGTGATTTGATGAGATGGGGTGGATAGGTGAGGTGTGATGTCTCCCCTTTTCTAAGGAATAGGAGAAGGGGGAAGGAGGGGGGATCAGAGGAGGATGCTACAATGAGGATATAAAGTGAATAAATAAATTGATTGATTAAAAATAGGAAGAGCCAAAACCATACAATGGAAAAAAGGCAGCATCTTCAATAAATGGTGCTGGTCTAACTGGATGTCTACATGTAGAAAAATGCAAATAAATCCATATTTATCTCCCTGCACAAAGCGCAAATCCAAGTGAATCAAAGACCTCAATATAACACTACATACACTGAATTTATTAGAAGCAAAAGTGGAAAAGAGCCTTGAACTCATTGGCAAAGGAGACAACATCCTGAACAGAACACCAGCAGCACAGGCTCTAAGATCAACAATCAATAAATGGGACCTTATGAAACTGAAAATCTTTTGTAAGGCAAAGGACACTGTCAATAGAACAAAAAGACAGCCTACAGATTGGGAAAAGATCTTCACCAATCCTGCATCCTGCAAAGGGCTAATATCCAAAATGTATAATGAACTCAAGAAATCAAAATAACCAATAAACAAAATAACCCAATTAAAAAAATGGGGCACAGAACTAAACAGAATTCTCAACAGAGGAATTTTGACTGTTGAAGAAGCATTTAAAGAAATGCTCAACTTCCTTAGTCATCAGAAAATGCAAATAAAAACAACTCTGAGATTCTATCTCACACTGGTCAGAATGGCTAACATCAAAATCTCAAGTGACAGCACATGCTGGCGAGGTTGTCGAGAAAGGGGAACCCTCCTCTGTTGCTGATGGGAGTGTAAACCACTTTGGAAATCAATCTGGTACTTTCTCAGAAAATTGGGAATAGCTTTACCTTAAGACCCAGCTATACTTCTCCTGGGTATATACCCAAAAGATGCTCCACCATATAATAAGGACACTTGCTCAACTTTGTTCATAGCAGCTTTATTCACAATAACAAGAATCTGGAAACAACCTAGATGTCCCTCAACTGGAGAATGGATGAAGAAACTGGCACATTTACACGGTGGAATACTACTCAGTTTTTAAGAACAAACATCATAAAATTTTCAGGTAAATGGATGGAACTAGAAAAGAACTGAGTGAGGTAATTCAGATCCAGAAAGACACACATGGTATGTACTCACTTGTAAGGATATAGTCATATAGTACAGGATAAGCATACTATGAGGCACAGACTCAAAGAAGATAAGTAACATAGAGGATCCAAGGGAGGAGGTGTAAGTCTCACTCAGAAGGGGAGATAGAATAGACAGAGGTAGCGGCTGAAGAGAGGGAACAAGGTAGGAGAGGGGGCACAGAGAATTAAGAAGGTGGAGAACAGACCTGGGGAGAGTGAGGGCAAGAGGACAGAAGACCTGTAGAAAAAAGAGAAACTGATGGGAGTATCTCTGTGACAAGCTGGAGACCTAAGTCAGGGTAGGCTCCTGGGAGGATATGAGGGGGATTCAAGCAGAGACTCCTAGTAGCAGAGGCCATACAGACTGAAAAGGACACCACTAACTAAACTAATCTCCTAGCAGAGGGAGGGGAGCATGAATCTACCCACAAAAACTTTGACCCAAAATTTAGCCTGCCTACAAGATGTGCAGGGATAAAGATAGAGCAGAGATTGAGGGAATGTCCAACCAATACCTACCCACCTATCTGCCCACCAAAGACCCACCCTATCGAAGAGTGCCAACCTCTGACACTATGAACAATGCTCTTCTAAACTTGCAGACAAGAACCTGACAGAGATGTCAGGCTGTTGCTACCCAGCAGCGCCTCAAAGCAGATGCCAAACATTGGGTGATTCATAGGGGGTCTTGTGGAAAAGTGGGAGGAGAGAGAAAAGGACCTGGAGGTGACAGGAGCTCCACAAGAAGACCAACAGAGCCAACTAACCAGGGCCCAGAGAGGCTTGTGAGAAGGAAGCATCAACCAAGGACCATGCATGACTGGACCTAGGCCTCCTACAAAGATGTAGCAGATGGGCAGCTTAGGCCTCATGTGGGTCCTCTAGTAAGGGAAGTGGGGACTGCATTGGACAGGGACTCACTTGCCGGCTCTTTGAGCACTTTCCCCTGGCGGGACTGCCTTGCCAGGCCACAGGGGAAGAGGACACACTCAGTCTTGATGCAACTTGATGAGCTGGAGTGAATAGAAAAGGGAGCTCCCCTTTTCTGAGGAAAGGGGAAGAGGGAGGAAGGTGGAACTGGGAGGGGAGGAGGGAGGGAGCTATAACAAGGATGTAAAGTAACAAAAAAAATAATAATAAAAATTAAAAAAGAAAGAAAGCAGGCTGAGCAAGTCATGAGGAGAAAGAAGCCAATAAGCAGCAGCACTCCAGATGAAAAACGAATGGGATGGACACAAGAAAGGAACAGCCTACCTAGAAAGTGATGGTGTTCCTTTTCATCTACACACGTGAGCTGGGGCTGCGTCCACCATGTTTTCCCACACATGGTTTTGCAGATGCTCACAGCAGGACGTCTCTGTAGAGCCTTGTATCCTTGAATGCATTCATAGTGAACACTCTGTCCTGCCACGAAATGATAGATTCTCTTGGCACCTTCATGTTCCCACGAAGGGGGCTCCCCACAGTGACCTGGAAGAGGAAGAGATTTCTGAAGGCAAGTTTGGAAAGGCACAGTGAAGGCCTCTGGGTAACTTCTTGCTCTCAGACTGGCTCTGGTCACTAGAAACTTGATCTTGATTCTATTCTTTTGTTTCACTTTTTCACTGAATGTACAAGTATTGAGCGTATCCAGCTGACAGGAATTTAGGCAATGGTAGGAAAGCCTGAAACCCAGTGTGATACAACTATTTCTCTGAGCTGAAATACTCCCTTTTGGAGGAAGGCTCCTTACAACTCTGAAAAATAAGCAAACCCCACAGATCTCAAGATGCTCCTGAAACTCATCGCCCTCCTTTTCTTACTGCTACATAAGCAGTGACAATGACTGAGGGGAGGAGACTCAAACTGTGGGAGAGGTCTGCCCAGGAGGGAGCTCCAGAGATGCAATTTTTGAGAACTGTGGTCCATACTGTGGGGTTTTTTGTTGAGGCAGCTGCAATTGAGTCTTCCATACTCCCCAAAACAAGCCCAATAAATTCATTGGTTCATAAATTTGATAGTTGGGTGGATTTTTTTTTTTTTTTTTTTTTTTTTAGTTTGATGTCAGTGTTCTGTCTGTGACCAAATGTTTGTTCAGGTCTCCCCAGGAGCTCAGCACCCTGTCACTCCTGCAAGGTTAGACAGTTGATTAAGTAAGAAAGACTTAGGCTAGTGGACAGACAGTGGCTGTGGCAGATTAAGAGTGGCTGCTTCCTGGGAGCACAGGGGAATGAGCTCTTTATTTGACTGACATTACAAAGATCCCAAGGGCTTTGGAAAAGTACACAGGTGGAAGAGGGCTCTCAGCTGAGAGACAGCAGCAGCATGGAGCCAAGAGACAGACCACTCTGCATTGCCACTGAATAAATGAAGAGGACCAAATTTGGTAGTTATCTTAGGACTTTGTGGAGCTAACCTCTAGGATAAGGCAAATGTTTGGAGCAGAGAGAATCTCAGTGAAACATATCATGGTCCTTGATTAAACCACACCCAAAGCTTGACCCACATTGGCCCAGTCAAGCCTTCCAAAGATCCCCTATGGCCAGCAGCTTTATGAATGAAGCTGGATTCACTGGAATGAAGTCAGATTTGGCTGAACTTTGGCCCCAGAGATCACGGCCTGTTCTGAATTAATCTTGGAATTCCCTACTAACTGCCCTCCATCTGGTCATACAGAACTATACATACTGTCTAACTCTGGATCATGAAATTACTCATAAGTTTAGAACCTTCCATATTTTCAAAACCCCCAGTAACCAAAATAATCTCCCAAAGAACCACATACAGACTTTTTGCCCCAAACCAGAAGCTGAGTGCTCCTGACTTGAGCCATTTTATGACTCTGCACTTAGCATAACAGTGCTGGGACTATGTTTTACTCCCAGAAAAAATTATTATTTTAAGGTCAAGAAACAACATAATTGACAGAACCTGTTTGAATTCAATTTGTTTCTTTAAGACGTAAACACCAAACTATGATGATTTATGAACCATCCCTCAGTTAGAAACATCTGGTTCTCTCTTTTTTATTATTTGTGGGGGTGAGGCGGACATCAAACAGTTCAGGATGACTTTGAACTTCTGATCCTCCTGCTTCTGCTCCCCAAATGCTAGGATTACAGACATGTACAACCATGCCTAGTTTGGATGATTTTTCTCTTGAGTAAGAACAAATAGTGACCTTCCTGAAACCTCTCAATAACTGTAGATATTGGCACCAGTTTCTAAAAGAACATAGGAAACATTAAATGTATTTGAAAACATCACCACAGGACAGAGCTGGGAGAGGAAAGGAACTGAAAACATCACATCGCAATAGCACTTCCTAGATTGACCCTCCACCCCCAGTATTGGATGCTGTGAGTAGTTTTTAAGTATTTAAAAATGAGCTCTCAGTAGAGAGATCCCTCTTCTAATTTAGGAGACCAGTGGTCTTGCTTTTACCCTATTATGTGCTTTTAGCTAAATTGCTTAATGTTGCTGTGTCTCAGTTTCTTTGGTCATGAAGGTACTTCTTCCTGCTCCCTGAATCGCTCAGTTGTGGGGTTCAGATGATATTACATATGATGTTCTGCATAAGGTTATAACTCTGTTATAAGACTATAGGGTCTTCCCATGGCCAACTGGTCCCCACAAATGTCATGTAACCCTAGCAGACTCTCTTTCTTCCTGCCATTGTGGCTTAATTTAAGTACTATTATTTCATTTGGTAGAGGTGTGGGCAGACACAGTGCCCACTTATCCAATCTTCATTAACTACTAAATAACTGTCTGAGCTTTTCGTTTCATAAATGTTCTGTAAGAAGCAAATTGTTATCAGTGGTTTTGCTTGCAGTTCATTGTTTTGTACTTTAGAGAAAACAGGAGGAATTTGTGAGGGCAGGGATCACTGTCTATTCATCTTGTTTCTTCTGTGGGCAGTGCCCAACTCACAGCTATTCCCAACACTTGCTTTTGAACTGAATTGAATCTCAGGACTTGAATTCTTATGCTGCCAAACCAGAGCCTATGTTACCTTCAGAACGAGGTAACATAGGCAACATTGTTATCTGCATGGTGTTCTGAGGAGTGAATAAATTGCACCTGCCTGTGGAGCACAGGACTGTCCTCCCTCCTCTGGCTCATCCTTTCCATGTATCCAAAGACCAGCACCCAGGGGCTAGCTAGGGGATGGCTCTTGAGTCTCATGTCTTACCTGGAAGTTTCCCTTGATGCACAGACTGTGTTGATTTCTGCGATACTGTGGTCTGTTGCTTTTTCTGATCTTCAGGTGCATGTGTAACTTCCTTTCTTGTGTTGTCATTGGCTAGAGAATTATGGGAGGAATGAGGTATATAAGTTCCCAGATACTCAGAATAGAAAAATTCGGTGCGGGATGTAAAATAAATAAACTAATATAAAATTTTAATAAAAAATGCTGTTCATACATTCATTCACCCCAGGACATCTCTCTAGTGCCCAGTGCTGGGTTAGGAAAGATGCACAAACAAGGCCTCCCTTGGACAGAATCAGCACACTTAGCCCAGCACTGACTTCTAAATATTCATATGCATATGCATATTGGCAATGGACACAACATATTCCTAGAAGAAATGCGAGATTTTCCTACTGGAAAATCCTGTGTCCGTGTGACTCAAACATAAGTGGATCTTTCCTTGTCATCAGCGCTGCCAGTGTCACACGTGGCAGGTAGGAGTAGTCTAACCCCACAACCTTCATTTAACACACACACACACACACACACACACACACACACACACACACACACACGAGTCAAGATCTCACTGTGCGGTCTTGGTTGGCATGGAGCTCATCATAGACCAGGCTGGCTTCAGACTCATAGAGATGGCCTGCCTCTGCCTGATGAGTGCTGGCTTTAAACACTTGTGCCACCCCTCTCTGCTCAGCCGCACGATGGAAAATTTTCAGCCATAACAAGAAAATGAATGCAACTAGAGAAAAATATTAAGCAAATTAAGCTACCCACATAAAGATTTTTTTTTTCCATTTGTGGTTCTTAGATTTTCTATAGGTCCCTAAAATCAAGTATGTTTATATGACCTGAAAGTGTAAGAAAACCACTTACAAGGAAACTAAAAGTGACTAATGGGCTGAGGGGGATAGAGGAGAGAGTAGGGGGTATTGAGTGGGGGCAGAGCACGCTCATTCTACAGTGTGTCCCTGTGTGAAAATATCCCTATATAACCCATGTATGATAGATACATGTAATGAAAATGTTAGATATGTGTGTGTGTGTGTGTGTGTGTGTGTGTGTGTGTGTGTGCGCATTCATAAAACTATCACTTTTCCACACTCTCACCCCCCGCCCCAGAAGAGAGAAGAAGCTGAGTACAGAAACAGGTTGTGTGAAGGAGCATTCTGAACCCAAGGAAGAAAGAAGAAAGGCCAACAGCACAGTCCTGGAATCTATCACATTGACTCAGACTTAGCAAGCCTAGTTCTTAGACCAAGCAGACACTCGTTAAATCATGTTAAATGGGTGGTTATCCCAGAAGCTGATAAGATCCATTATCCTAAAGACTTATCTACCTTTTTGTTTTGTTTTGTTTTTTGGTCTGTTGGCCTGAGTTCATGGGAGCTGCGTGTGTCTCCTTTTATGCCCAGTCCCTTTCCCATCAAGGTTACAAAAGGGACACCTACAGTTGCTTGTACACTGGCAGGGGTTGATCCAGGAGTTCCCCGAACAAGACATATAAATAGAATTGCTTCTTCGGAAATGTTTCTTGCATTCACAGTTTAGGATGGTGCCATTCTTGTAGGAGAGGGTTCTGAATGTGGCATTGGGGACCTCTGGTGGGTCCAGTGGACACATCTCTGTAAAGAAAGGAAGAAATGTTACTGTGGGATGTTCTGGTGAGACATGAGTTTGATGGTGTAGTGGCTTAGTCACACATTTCTTCCCTCTATTTAAAGGATGGCACGCACTCCACTTCCTCAGGAAAGGAACTAGGGCTCACACTGTGGTTCCTGTCCTGGCTACTTTTTATGTCAACTTGACACAGGATAGAGTCATTTGAGAGGAGGGACCCCCAACCGAGAGAATGCCTCCATAACATGAGGCCTCCCTAAGATGGAGGCCTGTAAGGTGTTTTCTTAATTGGTGATTGATAGGGGAGGGTCAAGCCCATTGTGAGTGTCGCCACCCTGTCCTGGTGGTCCTGGATGCCACGAGAAAGCAGGCTGAGCAAGCCACGAGGAGCAAGCCAGTAAGCAACACCCTTTCATGGCCTATCCTGTCTCCAGGATCTGTCCTGTATGAGTCCCTGTCCTGACTTTCTTTGATGATGGGCAATGATCTGGAAGTATAAGCCAAATCTCTCCCCCCCCCCCACGTTACCCCACATTGGTCATGATGTTTTAATCACAGCGACCGTAACCCTAACTAAGAAAATTCCTTAGAAATCTCAGTACCGGGAATGCTTCCATTTGCAGCAGGTGTCGGTCACATGCACAGCATGATCTGCATGCTGAGAAGAAAAGGCTGCTGGATGCTCAGCCCCTAAATGTGGCATCTAGCCCACTGCCTGCAAGGCTTGGGAACACTGCAGAAAAGGGGAAGGAAACAAAGAGTGAGAGGAAGGCGTGGGGTAATGTGGAACACTGTCTTCTGAGTATGACTTGGGTGTGGCACTCTTGAACTCCCAGCAACTATCACTGCCTGCACAATATTGTGCTTGTCAACGTTCCCTCACAAAGAGGGGAGGGGTTCACGAAGTCCCACCCATTCTTGATGGTTTATAAACGGGTAACAGTTGCTGGGTGGAGGGATATCAGGAGGCCCCACCACTAAAGATATAGGCAATTGTTGGTTGCTGAGAGAGGGAGAGACATTTTCCTCAGGAAAGTAAGACTGCAGAGCCACTGGTATGTTGCTTATCTTCCTGTCAATAGCCGTATACCAGGCTCCCAGGAGTAGCTCTAAACTCATTGGTTCACCACAAAGAGAAGTGTGAACACAGAAGAGCAACCAGTTGGGAGTCAGTGGCAGGGGACCACACAGGGTAATGGGTATGTATGTGAGTATGATCAAAATACACCACATGCATGTATGCAAATGTCATAATGAAAGCCATTATATGATTAATATATGCTAATAAAACTAAAAAGATAATTTTTTGTGTCAGAGATGCTACAGCAGTGTTCACTCGAATTCCTCTATAGTATAAAATGCACATTATAGAAGGAATACTATAAATAAGTAGAGTTTTATCCTGAAGATACTTCATGTCTAGCAAATACAGAGGAGAGGGTGGGTGGGCCAAGGTAAGTCAAAGCTTCAGGGTCAGACCTGGTATCCTAGTATGACACCAGAAACAGTGGTTCCATATGTAATTATTATTATTATTTTTTTTTGAGAAGGGGCCTTCTCATGTAACCCAAACTGGACTCAAGTTCATTATGTAGCTGAGGATGACCTTGAACTCCTATCATCCTGCTTCCAATCCCAAGTTTTGGGGTTACAGGTGCACACCAGCACAGCCAGCTCTCTACACTCAACTCTTGAGGGGGAAAGTGATCTTGATCTAACTGAAAATCATTCTATTGCAAAAAGTTCTTCTGCTTGACGAGATTGGTGACTAGGAAAATGCCACAGACTGCATAAGGGATGGCATGATGGTAAGGAAAAGGAAATTGTGGGGAAGCAGGAGACCGACTGTCATGGCAAAATGGCTTAGTATGCAAAGATGCTTGCCATCAAGCTGCTATTCCATCTTGTGGAGCATGCTAAGGCCAGTCCCAGCAGCTGCTGTATATACCAGACTGTTGTTTGTCATGATGGTTAGTTTGTAGTATCATTTTGAATGCTCTAATGGATGCCTAGAGAATTCAAAGCATACTTCTGGGTGTATTAGTAAGCATATTACCAGGAATGACTGTCTATGGGTTAGCAAAGTAATAGGGAAAAGATCCACCCTCAGTGTGGGCAGACACCCAACAGTCAGTTGGGGACGAGGCTGAGACAGGAAGTAGAAGGCAAAGAAGTATGTTCTCTCTATCATCCAGTCTGCTTCTCCCTTTTCCTTTTCTCTCTCCACTTCCTCTTCTTTTCCTTCCCTCCTTTTTCTCCTCCCCTTCCTGTTTTTCCTCTTCCTGTATCTCTCTCCTTCTCTTTCTTCTATCTCTTTCTGTGTGGTGGTTTGAATGAAAATGCTTGGTTCCAGTTGGTGGAACTGTTTGGGAAGGATGAAATACGGGATGGCAGCTTGATGGCAAGCACCTTTCTACCCTTAGCTACCTTACCAGCCCATTTCTGAAATCTGAAGACAGACATTAACTTACAGATCCAGGATGTCCACTACACCATACAGAATAAAGAAAAGCAGATTGGTGTGCATTCATTGCCAAACTGCCAAAAACCTAATGAGAACATCTTAAAGCAGCCAGAGGAACAAGTGACACACAATAGTGGAAAAAGTGATGGGTGACGACTGGCTTTGCCACAGAAACAAAAGAAGCCAGAAAATAACAAAGCCAACCTTCAAACAGATAGCCGGTCAGCTCAGAATCCTGATTAGATTCGACACGCTTCAAAGATGAGGGTGGGACTAGCACATTTTCAGGTAAGAGAAAGTTTACAGAATCCCACTAGCTCACTTGTATTGCATTACTTAATATATAATAATAACAGTGTGTAGTAGTTCTTTTATTTATTTTAATTTTAATTGTGTGTTAGGGTGGGGCACATGATCGAAGAGCTCCTAGAGACCAGAAGAGAGTGTCAGATCTCTAGAGCCACAGGTGATTATGAGTTTTTCGATGTGGGTTCAGGGAACTAAACTCAGATCTTCTGAAAGGACAGTATGCATTCTTAACCACTAGCCATCTTACCGGTCCCTACATGACAGATCTTACCACCTATGTAAATATAAAACATATGACAAGCGTAGAAAGAGGATTGAGGCTAATGGACCTTTAGCTTTTTAAGTTTTTCTAACATGTCTGAAATGGTACAATATTAACCAAATAGGACATGGAAAATTAATAATGCATAGTAAATTCCTCAGAGAAGGCATCCAATAATGAAATAATGAACACATTAAAAAGGTGGTAATAGAATAAATTAAATAGAATATTCCAATATGTATCAGACATATATTTGAGTAGCCAAAATGAAAAAGAATAAAGAAGTAAGAATACAAATGGAGCAGATAGGAAAGAGCAAGAAGGCAGCTGTGGAGATTAAGCCATTATCATTGAATACATTAAACACAAAGGTACAAAATGTTCTAAAATGAAAACTTTCAGACAACAAACAGCAAGGCTCAACAACATGCTGTCTATGAGAGAACATGCTTAGATATAAAAACCACAACAAATTGAGAGTGAACAAATTTAAAAAAGATATACAGAAACAAGCATAAGAAAGCTGATATGGCTATGTTACTATCAGAGAGAAGTTTCATGAGAAGGGGTGTTATTAATAGCTGAAATGCCTCTTTCTATAAAAGCACCAAGAATTCTACACAATGGCATTTGTAAGTCATCAGGTGTGGCAATCTCAAATCACTTGTCATTTGTATATACTTAATCAATTAGACAAAAATCTAAAATCAATTGCATTTATACATCGAAACCACAAAATACTCAAGAATAAATTCACCCAAACCTCCAAGAAGATCAGACTTGAAAACAGTAACATTGCTGAGATAAATTTTAAGGGAAGTAAACAGAGAAACATATGGTGTTTATAGATTAGAAGACTGATCTTTAAAAAGACACCAGTTTACCATCAATCCATCTGTTAATTCAAGGTAATTACAATAAAAACAGCCAACATGCTTTTTAGTTAAATTTTCAAGTTGTTTTCAAACTTCCTTGGATGCATCTAAGACAATTAGTCATAAAATGAAGTTTAGAGACTCATACCATCTGTTACCCAGACTATCAATAAAGCTAGTCATCAATTGGGAGAAAAACAAATACAGCAACAGAAATAAGTTCTAGAAACTCACGCACATTGAATTGCCCCCCCGACCCCAATTTGCCAAAGCAGTTCTATGAAGAAAGAAAAATGCTCCCGACAAATACTATTGATTCATATGGACAAATGTGTGAAGGGCAAAGAACTTCCTTTCACAGATAAGAACTTGTTTTTCTTTAATATAAAGAACCATATGTTAGCAACAAGTATTAAACACGAAACCACAGAATTAAAATTGTAAAATGTCTTAAAGGAAATTAAGGCAAACAGCTTTAGAAATTGGGGATAGGTGAAGATTTCTTAGGACACAAAATGTGCTGAGTATAAAATAAAAACAGGGCTGGAGAGATGGCTCAGTGGTTGAGAGAGCTTGCTGTTTTTGTAGAGGACCTGTATTCTGATCTCAGCGCTAAAACCAAACAGCTCAAACCACCTATAACTCCAGCTCCTGAGGATCTGACAACATCTTCCTACCCACTGCTGCACAGATTAAACATTTTATAAAAGAAAAAAATTCAAAAAGTGTCAATTAATCCAAAGATCGTGAGACGATAGAAAAGACAAACTATGGCAAACTATGAGAAAAAGTATTTATAATATATATATGACAATATTTCTTTCCAGAATAATAGACCTATGTATCAACACTTAACAGGTAAGTGACTTGACATGTGAACAAACACGTGAATAGTCATGTTTCCAAAGAAAATATACAATTATCAAAAAAGTCAAGTTGAAATGGCACTCACCAAACTATCAAGAAAATACAGAGGCTGGAGAGTTCAGTAGGTTAAGCATACTTGACGCCCAAACCTGATGACCCAAGTTCATTCAACAGAACCCACAGAGGAAGGAGAAAAATCTATGCCTGAAAGTTGTTCCCTGACCTCCA